CCCCAAAACCCCAAAACCCCAAAACCCCAAAACCCCAAAACCCCTTTAACTCTTCAAATACTGAAAGAGCATCTTGGGCAAATAATTCCTTTATCAAGCAATACTTCACAAGTCAAAATGTCCACAAGGCTTATTTGAGGTTCTTTCAGGACTTCTTGCAGACCTGGTTGATGTACCTCTTCCTGCGGTCAGCCCTAGAGGTGTTAATGATCTTTTCAAGAGTCTTCATTTTTCTTTCGTAACATAGTTGATTCTTCTGTCTTTCATGAAAACCTAGGGAAGCATTAGAGGTACAGAGACTGAGCATGGGATTAGAAAATACAGAGGAAATGTGTCTTAGAGTTATGCTAGCTAGACTGTGTACAAAGTTAGGACTGAACTTTAAATCTCAGTTGAATTATAGATATAATTTTGCGTCTTATATCACTCCTAACATAATTAAAAAATATTTTATCTATACCTAAAGTCTTTTCGCTTTCTTTCCGGACTTTATCCATTTGGATCTGGTTCACAAGATCTCTATGATACTGTTCCTTATCTATAGGAATAACCCTACCAAAGGTCTTGTCAGGAGTCATTGTAAGAGATGCTCCTTTTGAATTTTGAAGTAGCCATTTGTTGTACTCATGTCCTCCTTTCCTGGGATTTTGTCTGTACAAATATTTCTTTAGTTTATCTCTCTTCTTTTGCTTCAGACAATGAACCTGAAGAATGGGGTCACCACTCATCTCATTTAGAATCCCCTTTTTCTGCATTTCACTATCAGAAATTTCTTGGCAGGTAACATTTTCAGTATATTTCTGAGGATTTCTCAAGATGTAATCTTGCATATTATCAATCCTATCTTCCCTGACCTTCCTAACAAGCTCTTCTCTGGAGAGATGATTTAGCCACATTCAGTCGTTATCTTTTAGATCTTTTAAAATCTTTTTATGCATTCCTGGAGCTTTTCTGATGTCATAATTGGGTGTTTTGATCCTTTCCTCTCTTTCTTTTACGACACCGGCAGCTTTAGGAGAGCTAAACTCTGAATTTATGTGTACTTCCTTAGTTTCATTACGTTTTTGTCCAGTGAGGATATTGTAGTTATCACTTCTGCTTGCAGATCTAGAGAGATTAGATATATCAGAGTACAAGTTCAATTCACGCTGCTTGTTTGCAGAAAGATGTAACTTTCCTCTTGGAGGGGTCACCATGTGCTTTGAGCCATTCCTGGAATAACGTGATCTACTCCTGTTCTTTATAGGAGATTTTGATTTATTTATTTTTGAGGTGCTTCTATTTGAGTAGTGACTCTTTGTCTATACCAACGAATTAATCATTCTGAGATGGAGGATATCTTACATCAGAAAACTTCTCTTGATGGCTTGACCGACGATGTGTCTTTTCAGGGGATACTTTATTTGTATACTTTTCTCTATGATTAATCCCTGGCTTAACAGGAATTTTAGGAGGCTTCTTTGAAGCACTTTCTTCAATCTCGATATTTTCATTTCCGAGTGTTGGTGCCGTGACTCATCTCTCCATAACATGATTTCTGGATTTATTTTTATTTGGCAAGATTTGAGGGCTTTGAGTTGTGAATATATTTAAGGTCTCTTTATTATCTTTTACTCTCTTTCTCCCTCATTTCAATTGAGAGTCATCATCGAGATAATGTTTGAGGGTTTTTCCTAGCTTTACTTTATAAATGTCATGGATATTTCCAACAAAGTCATTTTTCATGGTTGTCATGTTGGTGTTTACCTTTGACTTGGGCCTAAACGATTCTATCTTTGTAGGAGTGCCTCCCTCTCTTCTCAGCTGCTTCCCAGGACTCTGCCTCTCCACAGACCTGCTCTGGTGCAAGTTGCTCATGGTCAGGTACATGTCGCTAGTTGCATAGCCTGGCTTGTGGTGTTCGTAGAAAATAGAATTGGACACAAAGCTTTTAGATGTGAAATCATTGTTGCGACTTCCAGTTTCATTAAACGGACTTCCGACGACAGCTGAGTTCCCATCGTAGTACTGGTATTTTTGAGGAGTCAAGCGCTCAACTTTTTGCTCAATGATGCTTGGGGGAAGAGGACAAGGTCTGGTAGTTTTCCTGAAGCGTTCTTCCTCTCTGTTAGAAATTTCTATGAAGTCTCTTGCTTTCATTAACGAATATGTTGGAATAATTTTTATTTTAATTCCCCATCCAAATTTATCTAATCAATTTTATCAGCCTCTAAGGGGTTTTGGGGTTTTGGGGTTTTGGGG